TACATCGGGTTAATTCCGTTGGCTAGATAGCATCAGACCCATTTGAAAGATTTGTCACTTCTATATTATCACAACATTTAGTTCAGCACCAGGACATATCCAGACCAAATTAGACACTCTGCAAAACCTTGATTTCCTGCTGCATCTGGTTATAATGTTAAGTTTTTCCTGGGAAGAAAGAAATATAAAAATAATAGGAATTTTTTCAGTGTAATGGGTTGGTGGACAGGATATTTATACCTTTTTGGAAATAATAAAAAAACAGCTTAAGTCAGTTGCAAATTGATACGCCCCATTTTTGAAGCAATAAATTACTACATTCAAACACCAACAAGAAGATGGTGACAATCACCTACTTGCTTTGTTGCGTTTGTAATTTTATCCCTGAAACGAGGTTAGAAAGTTAGTAAAACTGCAAATCTATCAGGAAAAGGCTACAAGTTTACCCCCAAAAAGTATGTGGTGCCAGAAAAAAAAAAACAGATATACAAAGGAAAAAAAAACAAAGTTTGTATTTTTTTTCATTTGATTTTGTCTTTCCTCACCCCATCTAGAATATATTAAATTTCAAGTGAAAGCTGCATAAGTTAATGATTAAGAGAACATCCTAAAAGACAACATGAGCTTTGCAATGTTTAAGAGATTTTTTATTTGAATGATGATGATGGAATTTGTAACCTTCAGGCAGGATATCACCATGTGTTTGGTTAAATAGGACAAGTAATTTACGCAGAGGCTGATTTCTTTTTAAATCCAAAATAAATTTCCTAAAAAGTTAGTAATTCAGTTGGGGCCTCAAAACAATTATCATAAAAAAGGAAAGAAAACCATGATTATACTGTATTTTTTTGTTCTAACATATTCTTAGAAACACACTAATTTACTTTTTAGAACACACCAATACTAAAATCTAAAATGTTCAGTACTTTTGTTTATCAAATTAGATGTTCATATAGGCCAGAGCCTGACTGGAGTCCCCATTAACCTGCAGGTGTATATGAAGAGCTGTCTCTGAAGCAGGGCAACTCCAGATCCTTCATTCTTTCCAACAGTGTCCAGAGCATTGAATTAGAGAGCAGTTAAGGCAGTGGCTTGTAACTAGATAAAAGAGGAGACAGGAAGGGAGGCAGCAAGGAGGGCTGCCTGGGTGTCCTATAAATGACATTGTAATTCTCTGAACATGGGTTTTAGTGTAGTCGGCCACCATTAGGGGATGAGGGAAAAGGGAGGTATTTTTGCCACTTTAGCCAGCCAAGCATCTCTAATGGTGTCTGTGAGCGCGGGTGTGGATAAAGTCCACTCTGCCTGAAAACTCCCTCTGCTTCTACTCCTATCTGCTCAGTCAAACAGTGAGACACAAAGCAACCAAAAGCATAGAAGTCTCGCCTTCAGACTAACAGCAACATTCTACTTTCACTTCTGTGCTCTGATAAAGCCTCAACTTCTTTTCTTATCACACATTTCATGTAAAAAGCAATCATTCACAAAATCCTTAAAAAGTTAATTTATCAAAATAAATTATCTTATAATCAATATTAAAAACTGAACTTATCCATATACATTAAACAAAGAGACTGATATATTGAAAACGTTTGACTCTTCCTTATTTTGACTATCACAGTTTACTTAAAAGAAAAGCCCAAATTCAGTTTTTCAGAAAATTTTAAACAGACCAGACCAATAAGTCTGGTCATCTTCCCTCTGCCCCCTTAGACCCAAACCATGGTTTAAACCCTATCTGCTACTGGGTTTAGATCAAGTCAGTTTGCTGTCCATTTTGGGACAGTGACTCCAGCGCTTGGTTGTCAATGTTAAAAGGCTCTAAGTGCTCCAGAAAAAATAAATTGGCATCGCCATACTTTAATTGCCCTAAAACATTCTACTAGACAACTGAACTGACTTTAAACTTGATAAGACATGGTGGACCAACATCAGCCCCTAAAAAATCACTTTCTATGGAAACTTCCCAGTCAATATTAGGTAACTGCGATTGTTGATTCTGTGCCTTTACTTCAAAAATGTTCATCTTTTCACTTAACCGTCCAATACTATTGTTGAATGTTAAAAAACAACCAAAAACTATTTTGTAAGAGCCCAATGACCTGGAAACAAGAGAGGGAACAGATTTAGCCAAGCATCTTTAGTGAGGGAAGAAGGGAATGTGTTTATGAAAATGTCACCTGCACATGCAAATAACAGATCAATGAAGCAATTCGGACATTGGTCAATCATAAAGATGGGCTTGGGAGCAAAGTGTCCCAGACTGCTTTAATCTCTGCTGTGTAAACCAACCTGAGAGACTGCTGCTTCGCTCTGAGCTGTTGTGAGAGCTGGTGGTGCTGAAATCTTGTGATTGGTTGTGTGGTAATCTATTAGACAATCCATCGGCCAATCGGTAGTCAGGAATGAAAAGGAGGGCTACAGTGGAGGTTAGAGGGCAAAAATCACAGTGGCATCAGGTGATTGGCAGTTAGCACAAGCACATGCAAAACATGCAGTTAGAGCAAAAAAAGCAAGCGGGATAAATCTAGGAAACACAGAAGGAACGAGCTTCCAGTATTTCACAGTCCGTTTCCTTTGAGCAATAGACAACATATTCACTGGGGGAAATCAGATTTCTTTCCGTTTTTTTGTATGATTAGAAAAATGTGGTTTTAATCTTCTCCTCTGACTGATCTCAATTCTTGGAATAGGATCAGAGAGTCAGGAGTAGAGACTGCACTTCAATATATGTCCCTGTCCAGGAAAAAGTAATCAGCTTTTATTACGGTACATGTTTTTAAAGAATCATTAAATAAGGGGAATAAAAAAATAGAAAAAGAGCAGCTGTAAATTAGATTAAAATATGTATAAGAACACAATACCTGTATTAATGATCTAAAAAGGTGTTATTAACTATTAAAAAGATAAAACAGATAAGGTAATTATGCTAAAACTGGGGCAGGAATAGGCTTGCTATGAAAACTCTGCAGGAAATTAAAGGATGGCTTTACTGTGAAACTCTTTAAAGGGTTTATCTAACCTCAGAGCAACCAATAAGATGATTGCTAGAAAATAACTTCCACTTTCCATCACAGCTAAGTTAGAATGGATTTGGAGACTTTTAGTGGAATCATTTAAAGGTTTTAAAGGATATTCTTTTTGTGACCGGAAAGCTCAAAGATAAAATTTTAAGCACTCACAAAAGACATAATTTTGAGGGTCTGATATATTAAATCTTTACAAGGAATAGCAGTTGAACCTCCTAAACATAAGTATAACACTTCAATAAACAAGTTTCTAATGGGATCTTTGATTTACTGTTGTTGCAGGAGTTCTTGTCAGGCAGAGAGTAGCCCAGGTTTGCCATTTCCTGCTTAGCCTGGAGCGTGGTCTTCCACTGGGCATCAGGCAGGTCAACAGCCAGCTCATGGATGCTGCTGGAGTGGAGGATCTGAGTGGTTGCATAAGGAGTGGCTTGGGATGTTTGACCAGGACTGTTGTAATTAGCCTTAGTGGTAAAATCTATACTGCTGTAGATGGCTCCATCAGACAACATTGTGCCTGTTTTATCTCCTTGTCCATTGGGAAGATCTGGTGAAGAGAAAGAGAGGAAAGTTATAGGAAAGCTAATACAGGGTTAATCCATTTGCAAACCAGGAATGTAGCCAAGCATCTTATTCTTGTCAGAACTGAAGTAACTGAAGCATATAAACATTAATACTTTAAGTATTAATATGTCTTTCTTATTAAAAAAAATGTTGTTTGAAAACCCTCCAAAGAAGTATTCAGTATTCTATTGATCTGATATTTAAAGGTTCTCTAAGTGCGAGATACAGTAGCACAGTGAGCAGCAATCTAGATCTGGATGTACCTTTATAATCCATAAAGCTTTGTATGACTGACAGACATAATTTAAGAAAATGCACTTGGAACATTCAGTTAAATAACAAAATGTCAGCTGCAATTTCCTACAACTCTTCTCCATAAAGATAAAGAGCTTTGTTTAAAGCACACATGAATTCTGGATATTTCTATACCCTACATTCTGTTTCCATACATGAGGCATAACGCTCATGTTTTGCATTTGTGTGGATGTTGTACCAGACAGAGAGAGAGTAAGGGAAACAGAAACCAGGCTCTTCTCATAACACACGGTTTGCATGCCCAGTGAAGGGGAGATGATATAAAGCCATGGCGGAAGTGTCCACATCTGCGTCAGTCAAGCTCTGCCTGTCCTTCACGACTCGCTGCTCAAGACCATCCTTTCAAACATCCATCCACCCCCCTTCTTCTCCGCTGCCTGCCTCTCCCCATCATATTCTCCTACTCTGAAGTATGGGCAACGACACCAAGCTTGAGTATCTGCCATCGCTCAACTTGGTGACAGCAGATTCCCCCTGCTGTTAATGCAGACAGTGCCTTATGGTGTGAGATATAAATATGTTCAAACACATATAAAATATGCGTGACTGTGTACATTTTTTATGCATATATGTACATGACAAACAACATGAGCTCTTTTCAAACACAAAGGGATGTCGACTTCTCTAACTTATGGTCTCAATTTCAATGCTGCTGGAAAAACAGAATGCTCACCTCCTCGACCAAAATTCGTCAGGTCGTTTGGTCCCCCAGAGCTGCTGTTGACAGGCAGGCTGGTTGCTGGCCAAGAGTCGGCTAACCAGGGGTAACCCGGGTCACTGGCATTCAGCAGACCAGGCCGGCTTAAAAGAAACCAAAGTAGAAACACAGCAGTTAAAAACAGGATCAAATGTTTTTTATAAGATATCATTTAAATCTATATCTCTTCTGGATTTAAAAACATATAGCGCACTAAACGTTATTATTTTCTATACAATAATGTTTGAGATATGCCTATGGACCAAATGAAGCATTTCTGAAGAAGGGGGAAAGTAACACAGATAAATTTCTTGTTTAAAAAAACAAACAAAAATTTACTTCAGACAAGCATGGTTTTATTTCCATTTTTTCTCCTGCTGTGCCTTTCTCACAATCATTTAGCTATTATGCAGAACAACAATGTGGAGTCAGTAATGCCTGCTACAGATATTTGCAGGAGCGGATAATAGCAGCCGTGTATGTAATATTCCTAACTAATTAATACCATGTACAATTTGCTGTTTTCTCATTAACCCCATGTGGAGATTTCCTCACAGTTTAAATCTACATTTGACGACATTTGATGAAGCTTTAGCACTGGTCCCATCATGATGCTATGGTGGGATGCCATCACGGGGGAGTGGGATGTTCTATTTAACAGGTGGCATTTCTCTCCCCAGGGAGCGGGAAGTGTCCATCAAGATTTTACCCCGTCATGGGTGAGTGGTGGGAGGCCATTAGGAACGTTTTCCTGCACAATGACATCTGAGGCTTATAGCTGTTTGTAGCATAGGTCAAGTTAATCATGAGGAAGCAGTTAAATACCTTTGTTAATTATGCTCATTTGGACAAATTACATCAGCTAAAATGTGCAAAAGTGAAAACTTTAGTGTTTTATTAGGATTTCCTACCTGCTAGAACAGAAATAACTGTGAATTCAAGTCAAATTCCAGTTAAGAGGACTTGAGTCCTCTTCACCCAATGTGTACTATTTTTCTCCCACATTACATGTATGCAGTGAGTCTGTCACATAAAACTTTATAATGCACATTCAGTTTTGTTATTTGTTTGTGTGAAAATGTTCACCCCATATAGATCATTTCCCAACATATTTTATGCTATATTTGTCCAGCTTAGTCAATAAAAAAAAAATGTTTTTAGCAAACATAGAGCTGAAAAAAAAAAAAAAAAAAGCAGAGAAAACACTGGAAATAACAGCAGCTTACTTCTGTACTTGAAGTCGTATTTGAAACCCATTATGGAATCTGCACCCTGAGAAGCTTTGCAATACTGTAACTTCCAACTTGGCAATCTGATGGGGCTTATTGTCTGAGCTCCAGCAGGGTGATTGGTTGGCTCTGAGGGACTAGGAGAGAGTCAAACCCTGAGGACAAGGGCAGGTAATGGGTGTGCTGCAGTCACTCTCTGTCTCAGCAACCGATTCTAATGAGAAAAGCTGTTCAGCAAAGGGAGGAGTCCAAATGAACTACAGTCCTGGCGGCGAGCTAAGAGCCCTCGCTGTGGCTCCTGAATGCCAAAGCAGGCCCTCGAGGGAGACGAGTCATTCAAATTGATGGTTGTGCATCAGACACATGCACTTTTATAGGGTAATACATCTCTCCCTGTTCTTCTACCTCTGTTTCTGGCTGCCATGTTCCACCGCTGCCATCATTCTTTCTTACCATACCATATTTTCCTAACCCCATTTTCCTTTATTTTTCCACTACACAATTCCACATCCCCCTGTCTTTTGTATATTTAAAATCGCTCATGCTGCAAAAAAAAAGACTGAGAACAAAGACATTTTTTCCCTCTTATAAGTTAGATTTGAAAAGGAAGTAGCAGACAGTGAAAACTGCTGTGTTGTCCTTGCATTTATCACACTCCTGTTTTCGACAAAGCATAATTAAAATAAGACTGATCTCAACCAAGCATATTTGTTAAAGGTGTGCATGATGTGTAGGGATAATGAAAAGGGTTTCGGGGACATCTGCCTGATGAAGAGTTGATGCCTTACTTTTATTCACTGTCCAACTAAAGATGGATGGCAACCTTGGGCAATGAAATCCCACTTGAAGCAACATCCTTCCTTCTTTTAAGTATTTCAGTAACTTGTGATAAGCCAAAATGCATCCATAAATAGTGCCAGTCCTTCCTGACACCAAGCTTCCTATAAATAAGTCAAGTGAGATTCATTTCAAACCAACTGCATAAATCTGTTGTATATGGTTCAGTAGACTAGTTGATTAAACTTGGATTTAAAGTATAAATATTATCTTACACAATGGAAAACACAGATTACTTCATGGATTAACCCTCAGAGTAGATGATCTCATTTAGGATTCAAAGCCTAGGTTGGGAAGGAATCTCTATAGCAACAGATTTAATAAAACCTGTTCCCTCTGCACGTTGTTCTGCCAAAAAGAGTGAATCTGTGCTGGTAAAACATTGATCAGCATGGAGATAGGAAGTTATTACAAGCCCCTAATTACTATCTCCCTATTGGCAGAGGTTTAAGGAATGAACCCTTATCAGCTTTTTATCAATTTCAATTGAGCAGCCAAAGCCAAGTAGTCTAGGTCTGTGCAATCTGCAGCCTATTCATCTTCCATGAATCATTTATTTTGTGATCGATTAAGCATAATTGTTCAGTCAGAGCAATTTGGCATGAGCCAATGAGAAAATGGAAACAGATGTGCCTTCATTTGCCATTGTCTAATTAATGCAATAAACATTTCATGCAACAAATTATCATGCTTTTGTTCAGATATCCTCTGCGTCACATTTTTACTTTCTGGACAGATGGGGAAAATGTAACATCTGGGATATGATGGCTTTAGAGTGGCTAACAAAACAGATCAAAGGCTCAATTTAGAGGTCAGAGATGCATCATGTTCTTGGGAAATATATATAGAGATGCAATGATTCTGGACTTCCAGGCTGATTCTGATATCCAACAAGGTATGGGCTAGGCTCGGTCTATCTAATTTATATGATGACAGATGACATTTTTTCCTTTAAGCAGAATATAATCCTATAAAAGATAAAAAAACAACAACAAATAAATAAATAAAAAGTTTATTTTAAAGAGGATTGTGGCAAGACTTTTAAATCCAAATCAAATGATGGAGTTACAAAAATTATCCGCGTCTATGCATTTAACTACTAGGCCATCTAAATTATTTGTTTTTTATAAATAATCCATGTGAATTTTTATGAATAATCCATAAAGCCTGTGATAAAAATGAATGCCAGATAATCCTTAAAAGGTCATTGAAGAAGCAGGATATTCCCAGTATGCTCACTGATGTGCTCAGATAAAGGAAATTTTTTGATAGAATGTATAGTGGAAAGAAAAGGTTAGTATGTGCACCAGTGGAAGGGATAACTATAGTTATGAGGGTTTCCATAGCCATCAAACACTGATGTAACCCACACAACTGCTGTATTACTCTGTTGAGGTACTATGGAGCATGAAAAAGGTCCAAAGTCCTATTCTGAGGACAAAAAAAGGACATTTTTGTATTTCATTGGAAAGTTGATCACAAAGTCTGGAAATCAAGTGCAGAAGCATATAATCTGAGTTGCTTGAGGTTCAGTGCAAAGTTTCTGCAGTCGGTGATGATCTGAGGAAGCATGTCATCAGCTGATTGTGATCTACTGTGTCTTATCGATTCCAATAGTGCACAGCTGTCTACCAGGAAATTCTGCAGCACTGCATACTTCCCTTTCCAATAATAATTTCAGATTTCAGAAGAATGTTGCACTTGCCCACAATGCAAAATTACCAATACCTGCTTTAATCACTGTTGTATCACTGTGCTTTTAACCTAACAGGTAACCATACGGAGTCAAGGACAGCTGTTTGAGAAACTGGGCTGCCTTCAGACTTTAAAGTACTACATTTCAGGCTAAATCAGCACTGCCTTTCTATTCAGCAGATATACTGCAAAATAGATTGAAAGACCTTCAGTTGGGCAACATATTTTGCATTCTTTAAATTCTTTTTTTGTTTTCATTATCCGTAAGTCCTAACCATCAGAATTAAGAATAATGAATGCTTGAAATATGTCACTGTATGTTTAATGGGTATATTGTTGTGAATAAGATAAATGAAACAAAATACACCCAGAAACATTTTACTAATCTACAGATGGATTTTGGTATTTTGTGAAAAAGGCAATAGCTGTTTTCTCCATGTTTGACCTGCTTTTTACTGATCGATGCCAATTGATGGAAAATTGGGCAACTCCAAATTTCTGTCCTATTGATTGCTGCATCTTTAGAAAATTGTTGCATTCAGAACTGCTGATAAAAGATTTGCAAAGCATCCCAGAGAAATCACACACATAGAGGAAGAATTGGAACCACTTATGTGGAAAATTGAAAGACAAACATAGCAGCAGGAAACAGATGAAAAATGGTATGGCAAGCAGGTTGTGTGACTAATTCATTAAGCGATTGGTGGCAGCTCAACAACAATTCAGCTGAAATTGCCAATTTCTGCATATATGTACAGAAAAAGAAATTTTCAGAAAAAAATATGTATAGAGAAAGGACACATATGACATGAAATATATTGACACTAGACTATGGGATGAACACCATTCCAGAAACCAGAAGAGAAATGCGGTCAAATTTAGTCGCAATCTTTCAGTGAGTATTGAAGATGTGATTTTCTTTTAACCAAATAAGATATGATAAGCAGTAGATAGAGAGAAACCTGGGATTCTCAGGGGAGTTCCTCGAATCCCCACAACGGTTCAACTAAGAAGTGCCCCATTCACTATGGTCCGTCTCATTTCACTAACATGCACTGGAATGGAGCAAGCTGTATGGAGATGTCTATACACACCCCACACACACACATACACACATCTCCTCTGGGTAATTATTTTTACATTATTACATGTGCTCAGATCCTAGCCGCCCACGCAAGGTGACAGGGAAATTTATCACTCAAGATGGCTCCAGAGTTGCCCATAGCCAGCAGGCGGAAGATAAATGACAAAATAAAAGCCCTCTATGCTTAAATTGTTTCTGTTAATTCTGTTGAGGAGATTTATGAGTATATCTATCGATGCATAAATGGAGATGTGGTAGAAATTTATATTTGGGCAGCAGACCTGTGCGTTAGGTATTAAAATAGGTGTTGGTAATCTTTTAAACCTATCATTCATTTATCAGTGGGGTTGCTGTGTGACTCTGGAGGACAGACTGCATAGAGGCCAGAGAATTTAAAAACAGAGATAACATTCCCCTTTATTTCTGTGTCTGTACTCACCTTCCATTGCTCATCAGACCGCCGTCAACTCTTTGGAATGTCACTAAATGCAAGAAAGAAAAAGAAAGAAAGAAGAAAAAGAAAATAACATTATTATACACTTTGAAATCTTTTGTACTGTCATGTTAAAGAGAAGTACGTTTTTTTTCTATTCTTTATCAATATTTACATTAACAGTCCAACACAAATTAACATCATTTTTTCTATTAATCTCAAAAATGTTTGGTATGCATCTGTATTCAGCCCCTCTGAGAAAATACTTGTAGAAACACTAATCTTTACAAATGCAATTTTTATAATTATGTTGGAAAAACACTGTTCACTACAGTATTTTATTTATTTTCTTAACTCTGTTACTATTTCTGTTATTTCTATACACTTTTTAAGGTCAACATTTGTGTGAAGACTTTTGCTACAATCTTTTGCTGCTGTAACGCCACAATTTCCCCATTGTTAGACAATAAAGGGATTTTCTATTCTATTCTATTCTATTCTATTCTATTCTATTCTATTCTATTCTATTCTATTCTATTCTATTCNTTCTATTCTATTCTATTCTATTCTATTCTATTCTATTCTATTCTATTCTATTCTATTCTATTCTATTCCACAGCTGCAAACCTAATGTTATGTTTGACAGTAAACCAGCTTTGCACATCTAGAGAATCAAATCTTAGCCCAATCCATTTTTGCAAAATAATTCAAACTAAGTCATAGATTGAAGGCATTTAAATGTATCACGCAAAACTCTAATTTTTTTTTTACAAATAAGGTTATTTCTGAATGTTTCCAATAATTTTTATTAAGTAGTATCAGAGTAAGGGGCTGATAATAAATGCACTCTAGACTAGACTTTAATTGAGTGTAAAAACTGACCAAATGAATGTGTTATAAGACATTAAACTTCATAACTAAATGCTACTCTACATTGATCTGTCACAAAGAACACAGAAGTTAATAAGTTTGTGTTTGTAACATTAAGGAGAACCATTTGGGTTCAAAAGGTCTTAGTCCATTGAAAGTATTGCATACTTATAATAAAACAATGTCCTCTGTATTGTCCAGCTTGTCCTTGTACTTTAGCGCTATGTGCTTATGGTTTTCATTTTTTATTGCACCACTAGTTAATGGATTCACAATGGGCTTCAGTTCTCCCTCTGCAGGCGATGTCTTTGCTTCTTTTTTTAAGCTTGTATACTGCTTTGATTTACATAAATCAAGATGTCATGTGTTCTTCCAAGGACAAGGTGCCAGATGAGAAGCAAAACTAATTTCATCTCTTTGATTTTGCTGCCGAGTCACTATCAGATTCCTGATTAAACTCTAAAGAAATGATTAGAAAAGGCAGAAGACTCATTAATCACTTTGAGTTTTTTATTGTATCTGAGATTCTGGTCATGTGGCTAGCAAGAATCCCCAGAAGCCATGCATGTAGCCTGATCCATGAAAAAGATAAAAGCTGGCACACTCTCTCTGGATTGAAAACTCTTAAATTGAGGCGTCTTCACTGTGGTCATGATGACAAAGCAGCAGGGAAAGTTCTAAGCTTGTAAGAACTTCAATGGATTGTGAGGAAGAAGATAAAAAACATTGGTTTTTGGAATTCACCTCATTCCAAAGAGAAGAAAGGGAAAAGAGGGAAAATAAGAGATCTGCTTTACTAGAGCGAGAGAGAGAGGAAGGGAAGCTGTTAGTAATTTGGCTCATTTGCTTCACAGATGGAGATTAAAGAGGAAGACTCAACATTCTTCCTTTTTTCTTTCCAGTTTCATTTAAGTTGATTCCAGAACATGCTCAGGCAAGCGATGGGGCTTTTCTAAGAATGACGCGGAAACAGGCGAGAGCCAGAGGAAACTCCCAAAACAGATGAGAGATCCTCTAACTTCTTGCAGAGATGATAGATCTCTATCCTAATCCAAGATCAACTTTTTCAATATTCTTTAACAGTAATATAAAAACAAATTCACATTTTGTCTGATGAAACAGAAAGAACTCACGAAAAATGGGTAGTCTTTAAAAGGGGCAAAGCCATGTTATATGTCTGTTTAAAAAATTACCAAATAAACATTTAATCACAATGAAATAAAGTTATATTCGCCAAGCATCCCACCTGATAATGTTTTGATTGTCCTTTTTAAGCGTAAATAGAATTCCTGCACTGGGTAATATGACCAGACATAAATGGACATGTGCGCCATTTTCTGGCAGTAGGCTAACACAGAACTATCAGGAAGCCAGATGATGACAATAAAGACTGCTAATTAATAGAACATTACCGATCTGAAAAGCTCCACAGAAAAGCAAAAGCTCGGCACAGTTAAAGGCTGATCGACCTTAAGTGCTAAAGAATCCTCCCCAGAGCCTCCTTATTGTGACATCAAGGAAGAAATCAAGTTCATGCACCCACCTCTTTATCTATTCATAATTTTGTTTGTACCTCGACTCTTTTCACACTGGATCTTAGACTTTGCTTTTTTTTTTTTACTTCACCGGTAGGTTCTAACTTGTTAAGCTATATCCCATCCTTGTTTACGCCCTGCACATATTTTCATAGTATCGTGTCTCTGGCCGCTCCACGTTGTCAAAAATATGCACAAAGGGCTTTATTTACTAACAAATTGAGAAAGAAAACCATAAAACACAAACATGAAAGAAAAAAAACACCAGCAAGATGGGGTATTCTTCTAGAAAAACTTTCTTTGCAACTTAAGTATGTTACTGGTTTGAAAATTAAACAAATGTCATACAATACTATGCCCCTTTAACTTGCTTTTGGAAATTTAAATGTGAGATGGACAGTATAATTCTGAACATGAAATGAAATAATATGGTCATCAACATTCATAAAAAAAAATAAAAATAAAAAAAAAATCAATGGATGGTGTGGAATTATATTCAATATGTTTTGTTTTACATTTCTTTACTTTTCTCAGTCTTTACTTACAGTACAGCACCTTTTTTTTTTTTATAAAATAAAACCTACTTTTGAGAAAGGTAAACAGATAAAAAAAACATTTTATTCAGTCAGAGCTGTAGCCCAAGTCTTATATTCCATCACCAGCAAAAGTTAGTATGAGTGAGGGTTGACAGGAAATGGCTGGGAAGGCTATGCTGCAAGAAGGCCTCTGAAGTCGTATCTGAGTGCAGCCACATGTCTAGGCTGCTGAGGAACACTTTAATGTTAGCTAGAGTGACATGCCTGGGCTGGGTTTCTCGCCTCTGTCTCTGAGATAAGCACTTTCTCCAATACGAATACAGATTAATCCCCTTTAATAAGCATCGGCGGAGGGGAAGGGGCTGAAGAAGTGTAATCAGCATATAAAATTTCCATCAAATCTAATTCTTGTTGGCTGTGTGCCACCACATCGTTGTGATTTACCTCTCTTGTACTGACAGCTTTACTATGCTGAGACAGGACACACGATACATCAGCTAATTGTCAATACAAAGACAGCAGTGCTGTAAAGCTCCCCAATCACATTCAGTTTCATGTTCCAAATATTACCGCAGTCTCACTATATAATATATGCAAAACTGAACATTAAAATGTGCTTGCCTGTAAAAACTATTATTAAAAATAACCGGCTTCCTCTTTGGTATTTCAGAAGACCGTTTTCAAATTTGAAAAGTATGAATAACATTATTCACTTCTGCCTTAATATGTTGTTACAGCTGCTCTGTAGAGACCAAACGTATGCACTGCTATAGTTTAACCAGGGGCCACATTCAGATTTGTGCATATTTTGACAAATATGGTGCTATTTAGAAATAACAAAGGAAACGGAAAAGTCCCCAGATCTGTCCTCTGATGGTCCAGGTGGTTTTCATATGCATTCAGGGTTCCCCCATGACATCAACAGCCTGGTGGCCATCAGGTCCTAAAGATTATGATAAAAACTGAGCATTGCAGCAGTGAATATGACAGCAACTGCTCCATGATCTCGAGGTTGCTGTTCCTCAGAGGGAAGAGGAGAATCCTAGGAAGAAAACCTGCAGGAAAACTCGCAACACACCTTGAACTGGTAAAAGGTAACTGCACGGTAGTAAAGCACACCTATCTATCCATCCAAAGCTAGTAAAAAATGGTTCACAGCTAAGCAAATTAATGTGTTAGGATGCCAAATGAAAGCCAAAGATTTAGATCCCTATTGGGATTCAATACAAAGACTTAAAGCAGCACTGAATAACTTTCGCTCCCTCTGCAGGACCTTTTGCAAATAGCACTGTTTTAAAATTGACTGCCTTCTGTGAGTTGCGCACCCCTCACCGACAGCACTATCACGCTCTACATGATGTATATCATGACCGGATGCCAGACGAAGTGGGTAGCATTGTACATTATCAAATGTAAACTAGAGTAAAGGGGCCTTTTAGATTCATATTGTAATTGTTACACCTCAGTTAAGTGTAAGTCTTCCACTCAAGGAAACTGTTTTTATTGCTCTCATAAGATTATTCAGCCTCTCCATGTTTTATAGCTGCACACTAAATCGATTTCTCTAATGTCACAATGCTAGCACAAATGTTAGCAGATATGGTCACAGGTCTGCATCAGTTTTGTATCCTTGTCTTTATTTGAGGTCTGATCCCTGAAGCAAACGCCCAAATTCCTTTTTATGCAAGCTCTGTCCCGCTCCGATTATCATTTTCTCCTCCTCTTTTTCTGGCAATGGTTTGATTAGCCTTTTTATTTTTATTTATTTTTTTTTGCAGCAAGGCTCAGTCGTCTCATTTTTTTTTTTTTTTTATTATATTACCACCACCAGAGGAGGAGGAATTATTAAGGTGACCATGTTAGTGCTGCTTTAAATTGTTAGTTTAAGGGTGCTATGGTTTGAATTTAACTGAACATTATCTATTTTTTTAAAACAAGAATGGAACAAAAAACATTTAAAGCTAAAGGAGAAACACTGAAAAATACTTTAAAAGAATAGTTCAAACATGTGTTTCTACAAAGTTTAAGCAGAGAGGCTGAATATAGATTAACACAATACAGCACGTTGCAGACTAGCTATGATTTCCTTCCCTTTCAAACAATAAACCATTTAAATTCAAGGTTGTTATGTGAAATATTGACAACTTGAAGTGACATGCTTTTCCAAAGCAGTAGATTGGGGGAGTTTTTTTTTTTTTTTTAGTACTTTGTTTATAACTTTTGCCTAATTTTCATTTCATATATTCCATCCAATGACAAATATTTGTACATGATGATATTTTTGGCATTAAAAGTGAAGAAATAACTGATCAAAACCATCAAGGTGTCTTGTTTCAGATCAGAATTAAGCCAGAGATTTTAAAAAGAAAAGAAAAGTCTAGTTTTTGTGGGAAGATGTTGCAATTAAAGAACAAGACAATAATTTCAAAGAAAAAGAAATGGAGCACCAAGGTGTGTAAAGAACGCTAGAGGAATGTAAATAGGTACGGCACAGGGTTACTTGATTATTAACTAACAGAACAAGGATAGTCTTGGCAGTGGGAGCACAATAGACAGAATGAAACCTATCATAGAAACAGTATTAAAAAATTATACAGGATGCATAGTAAGCTTTGCAGGGAAAAAGGTTTGGGTTAAAGGTCATGGCATTATAGCAAAACTGACTTCTAAATGTTCTTGTGCGATGGGTTAAAGTGTTTTAAAATTCTCATTTGACACGATCAAACATCTGGCAGTCAGGGCATGGGAAGTAAACGTGGGTAGGAGAATGAATTTACGCTCCTGTGGGGGGTGGGGAGATGGGACAAATGAACAGTACCTGCAGGGGTGAAGGTGAAGGATTGAACTGCAAAACAAGAAGACAGAAAAAGTTGGGTGTTAAAAAGCCTGCAAAGCAATGCAGAGCTTTGAGTGAGGGGGGGTGGGGGGTGCTGGTTTCTGCAAACTCAGGTCAGAGTTGAGCTGAGATGCAAGGAGGTTCAGAGAAAAACAACCATTGCGAAGCTACAATTTCGCCCAGCGTGCAGAGCTTAGCCAGGAAAGCAGCCAGCTCAGAGGCCAGTAAGGGACAGAGCAATAGATAAAATTAAACACAAACATAGAAATGTAGCACATGAAGATGAAAATTAAACAGACCAACCAGAAACATGAGCAGATATATTCTCATAAATGTATCTTTTTTAAATATCTGCATATAAATGGGGAGAGAAAGAAAAAAAAAATGAAATAAAATAAGCTCATTGTCCATATACACCTCTCAGATGAAATAGGTTGGACTTGGCGGTGCAAGCGGACATGCCTGGTAATATCGACTAGGGGTCACTCAGAAATACGTGAGGGTCATTGTGTGTGGGTGTTGAGCCGGACTAACTCTTGCTTCATAGACCCGAAAAGAGTCCATTCTGGCAACTCGGCTCCATCACCCAGGGCTAATAACTCTGTGGGTGGATTTGTCAAGAACAGCAGCCCTCGGAAATGATCTAAGCTAACATCTGTCTCCCCGTGGAGTTGTAACAGAGCATCCATCTTGATTATATTGCTAGCAGCGTCTATGGTATTGAACAATAATGATCTTATGATAAAACCTTCCTTGAAAGGAGAAAAAATGATTTAAAAGAGGTAGGGGATTTTTTTCAAATAGTTTATTTCTAAGGCACCTGAGCATTCATGTGACACTTACCTGCATAGTTGCTCAGACCCTTTCTCTTCTTTCTCCTCCAGTAAAGCCAGATGCTGAAGCCCATGAGAATGACCCAACAAGCGCCTCCAATACCGGCAATGAAAGCAGGCTGCTTTACTACATCAGTTATCTGTTCTGTGATGCTGTTGTTCCTGTTTCCATGTATAATTACGTCTCGGAACTCCTTTCCTGAGGGCACAAAAACAAGCAGACAAGATTAATATGGAGCTATGTCAAGAGATGAATGGAAACAGGACAGATCAGTGGTGCTATAAGTCTTTTTAATCTTTGACAGGAAACTTCAGTCATCTATAAAGCACCCAGACCTTTGAAATATAAGATTTATTCACAACTATAAAATCACAATGGCATAGGTTAGCTCAAGTAAAGTATGACTTGTCAATTCTTAGAAATGATGCCTGGTGATTGAAAATCTAGACCGGAAATAAAACTGAGTAAAAGAACATTGCACATCAAGTGAAGACACCATCAAAATAGTGTTGCTACAAAACATCACAAAGTTGAAGCTTAAACTACTTTTGCAACAAACCATTTTGTTGTGTTTGGCAAAGCATGGCAGACATTTGAAACCATTGTCAGTGAAACACAATGTAAGGTTTGAAAAATGACAAAGATGCAGAGATAGACAAATCAGCTATGAGCAAAAGCAAACCGCACAGTTTCTTGAAAAAAAAAAACCATCTTCACAAAAGATTTTGGTGGTGCATGCATCATGTCACATCGATAGTTTTCTTTACTTTATATCGAAGTTTAAGAGGAATCTATGCTATAAATCAAAATATAACTTATTTTTAGTCTGATGCAGATTAATTTGACATCAATCTAATCCAATATGAGCAAATGGAGATATAATTTAAGGCGTGGGTACTGAATTCAATAACGAATTCTTAAACATATGCATGTATCAGCCTATACAAGAACAAAAGTAAATATCAGTATATTTGCTGACAGATGTAGCACGCTACCTCTAATGAATACTAATAATAACCATTGTACTCTAAGTTTATAATAGCTTGCCAATAGCCATCTTGCGTTTAAATGCAATTTACTTGTAAATAAAATAATAAAGCTGCAAAGTTTTATTGAAAGGAAGAAAACAAATATGTTTTTTTTTTACATTAGCTAATCTGGTACTAATATGGTCTAGACACTTTTTTTTTTCTTTGGTTATTGGGTAAGCCATTAAAGCAGGACATAGATCCAAAGGACGCATGGCTAAATTACAGAAAAGAAGGACGTACGTCACCCTGAAACCTCCCCTCACCTCGTTATGAAAGTCTTTCTGTACCTCTAAAAGTTCATTATTAAATTTAGTGGCATTTGCAAGACAATTTGTAATACCTTCCAGTTTAACAAACAGATAGGTAATGGTTCCTTGGACCAGTGGATCATGCCAACTGTTGCTATTTTAGGGGTCAGAGTGGAAAGAAAGCAAGAAAATAAGCTATAAAAAAATCATTATAAAGCTGTCGTAAAATCATCATTTTACATTAGAGGTAGGTAGCAAAGGTAAAAGCTATTCTTTTTCAGTAGAACTTTTAAACCATAATCCAGGCCTTTGTAACCTATTTGCTGGATTACTGTAATGCACTTCAAAAGTAGTTAGTGGTTAGTGCATCTCTTAGCTTTAGATGAAACATCTTTTAACAAGCACATAAAAGTCTGATTGACTTTTAATCTCTCTGCAGTGGTTGCTGTATATTTTAGGATTTATTTAAAATCCTTTTATTGGCTTCTAATGCTCTTAATGGCCTCGGCCTACCCTAAGTCATCAAACTGCTACATCTGTAGACATCCTCTTGTTGCCTCAGGTCAGCAGATCAACTGTTTCTAAGTCTACCAAAAAAACTAAGCACAAGCTCAGAGGAGACAATGCTTTTGCTCCAACTTGTGAAATGATCTTTCCTTGATCAGCCCCCTTCACTTTCTGATTTTAAACCTCATTTTCAAAAAAATCAATCATTCTCCTAGGCATTCAACACCACCTAAGATGTTAACCTTTGATATGGTTTAACTTAATTTCTCTATTTTCTTCCATCACAATTTGTTTCATTAATTATATAATTGATGTATCATTGTAATACAGAGTTATTTTCATTCAGGGCTTATTGATTTTAATATTGTTTTAATGGTATAATTTGTCTTGCAGATGATCAGATGGCTCTATGGTATGGTATGATATGGTATGGTATTATGTGGTGTGTTGGTGAATAATATTCTAGATTTGACATGTTTCCCTTTTGGGGAATCTTCACATCATCTGAAGTTTTAGGTTTTAGAAGGGATACTGGCCATCAAAGCCAGACACAGATCTAAAGAATGTGAGGAGAAATCCAATGTTCAGACTTGAAAAGACAAAGTCTAAAAGCTCATAACAAAGCCCCAGGTGATCAGGCTGTTTGCTTTGTTCAGCCTCTAATTCACTCCACTGCCAGTACAACACACCACATGAAATGAGAGTAGAAAGCCATGGTCTCTATTGATCCCCAATCCCACATCACCCCTGGTAGTCTGCTTGACAATATTTCTTTAGTAAGGCAGAACCAAAAAGCAACTTTTAGGAACACTAATCTGTGACAATTATGTGGATCGTTCACCAATACCGGCATGAAAAACCTTCTGATCCACATTGTTGTGCAAAAAGAAAAAACAACCTCTGAAAGCAAACAGATCTAAAGACAAACAAAACATATTATAAGTGCAAGCTCAGTGTTTTGCCCTTAGAGATGGATTATGTGAGTGACACTGGGGAAATAAGAACACGCTGCAGGCCAAGTCATCAGTTATGGGTCAAATCAGAGAAAATCTGGCAGAGCTCCACATAAATCACACACAGTCAGAACACATTTCAAAACAACACTGTTCCAACAATATCATCCATTTTCACCCATCCTTAAGCCCCAGCCCCCACCATGAGTCTCTTAAAACTGGTTGTCGAAAGACTGCAATGGTTTTCTATAATATATCTTACCTATGATTATAGGCTGAGGTTCACTTTTGACTCCCACTCCTGCACTTGTACTGGCAGCTACTTCCACGTGATATACCACTCCCACCTGCAGCCCGCCCACCACCACAGAGCGTATGGCTGCATCCACTGTCTTATTTACATGGAAACGGGTCTCATTCCCAAGACACCAGATCTGATGATAAAAGAAAAAAAAGTAACAGTAGTTTCTATTTTCATGCAATAGTGAATGATAATTCGTTAGGAATTCCTGAAGCAAACCTTGTACTCCTGGATGATGCCGTTCTGGTGGTCTGGGGGAGGAGGGTCCCAGGAGATGCTGATGGAAGTACTGTTCTGGTTTCCCACCGTTAGCACTGTTACCTGCTGAGGAGGAGCGCTGGGAGCTGGGAGAGAAACAGATTAAGAAGTCAAATATAAAATTCTGTAGCTCTTAAACTATGAACAAAAATTCAGTAATGAAGTAGGAAATATACAGAGCCTTGCTTATAATTTCATGCCCATAAACCTTTCAGCAGTGTCTCACATTACAGCAACAAGCTTCAGTCCACTTGTTGGAATTTTATGTAAAAGGCTTACCCAAAACTGTGAACGCATGTACATCTTTTTCAGACATTATTTTATAAACAAACAAGGCATCATGGTTGAGCTGCCTGCTGTGTTTTTTTTCCAACTTATGCAATTTTTTGTCACTAATACTCTTTAACATCTCTAAATAAACTTTTTTATTCAGTTTTTTCTGAAGTATACTGGTCAATTTATTTCAAGGCATCAGAATAAAGATGCCTCAAAATATATTTTCACCTAACTTTTTGATTTTTTTATCAATAATGCAGAAGTTCTGGTGGGCTTCACAACTCTTCACTAATTTATGTTAATCAATTACATAAGATCTCAATAAAATACATAAAAGTGTGATTTTTGAACGATTGCAAGGTGTTCTAATATTTTAAAAGTGTGTCTTAATTTGAACTTAATGGGAAACAAATAAAAATGCAAGTGGCTTTTATAAATAATAGCATTTTATGGGGAAGGTGCAGTAGACAGAGGTTTTTTTTTTTTTAAGATAAGATCAGGTCAGATATCATATGGCTTTCAGCTGTCTATAAAATTGTACTGTGATTTAATATAGAAGCTTCTGCTCTGGTCTGGTGGATTTGCACACAGGACACTGATATTGATTTTAGCGATGAAGGCCCAGCAGACTACGGCCAGGCTTCTCAGTCATGCTAAGATTCCATCTTTGACCAGTTGACACAAGGGTCAACAGATACTGAGATGAGGTGCAGAGGCAAAAGAAATATGAAAAAGCAAAGAGCATTTAGGAGGAGGAAACAAAGTCTCGGTAAACATATCGATAGGCTCTTATCGATCAGCCAGATTAAACTAAAGCCAGTAGGTAAGGATGGAGCATGTTAGGTACCTTGGAATGCATCTATTCCTTCCACTGGGAGACAGGGAGAGAGAGAAACAGGAGCAGTCCAAGATTTCATAAAGCTCTATTGTTATTCTGATGGCGACAATCTTCCGACCCCACAAGGCGTAAAAGGAAAAATAAATAACGGTTGGTCCAACTGGAAATAACGCTTTAAAAATAATGTTTTCTCATTTCCGCAGTGGCTGGCAAGAGAGCGGCACCACAGCAGAATACTGACAGGTCAATTACTCCTGGGCTGCCTCTCCCTCACCTCACCTCCATCCAAAATGGCACGTGTCACCCCGTAAATCTGTGCTCATCCCTCAGTGCAATTGGCCACACCGCCCCCCAGAGAGCCAGGAGGCCCTGGCATGGTGGAAGATGAATGGTTCCAATGATGAACTCAACACCTTGGCCAGATTAGAAACAATCTACCAAGCGAGCATCTGATCAAGCATCACGCTCAGCGCTTTGAGGCCCTGCATTACGTTCAGGTGATGAAGTGCCTAGCTTGTCCATGGAAGCCATCATTGACAATGTCGTTCAAAGTTAATGTTATGAATGATTTAGCAGCTGATTATCATGCATATTTGTGCTAAACAATACACATTTTTCATTAGAGGCCTTGGAGGCTGTGCTAATAGGGCCATTAGCAGAGTGATGTATGGCAGGCAGGAATGTGACCCCCTGTCTAGTATGTGCACACCATGCTGTGCTGAATGATGGGAGGAATACAAACAGATCATATCTTGCTAAAAAGTAGCCAATAACTAATGAAAAGAGGTGGGATCTCTGTAGAGTGAATCACAGAAAGTAAGCCTACAAATGAACAAATTCTCTTGATATTTTCACTTCTTGAACAGGCATTGCATTGCCTAAATGCTCTCCATCAGTTAAATTTAGGTTGTTTTTCAGATGAATTGGGATGGGATCCAGAATCAATTTATCAACCAAACAGACCGCCATAAAAGCCTACGTGTCCCTTGAATTACATTTTTTAACTCGGTCACATGATAACAATTTCCAATTATTTTAAGAGGAATTTTATGTCAGGAATCTTTGCGAAGGGGAAAATATTGTATTTGTAAAGTGGAGGTCAAACAATGCCTTTCAAAATATTTTTCTGTAAATAAAAGATTAAGCAGAGTGATGTGCATTTGTATATAGTTTTCTTAATCTGACGTCTCACATAAAAAAACAAAAAAACAAACTGGAATCAACTTTTTAAAAATCGTTCAATAAGCAATTAACAGCAATTACGCTTTTGGTAATAAATCTATTTAACTCTCTTTAAATCTTCTGAGAACAGTCTCCACGACTTTTGCTCATCTTTAGAATGTATTTGTTGCAATAACTTCTTCCAACATACCTCAAGCTTTATTCGAATGAATGTAGAGGTACTTTTAACAAGAATTTTAAAGTCTGGCAACACATTCTCAAAAAGATTAAGGTATAAACTTTGACTCATCAAACACATGCACCTGCTTTGATTTAAGCCAACCCATTGCAATTCTGTCTGCATGAGTATAAGCTCCTAGAAGTTGAACCCCTTCCCTGGTTTTCTGCAGCCTATAACAATTTTCCTGAAGGACTGGTCTTTATTTTGCTCAGTCCATCTTCTCTGACTAATTGCTGCTAACACAATGCTTTGCCCTGGGGTGATGTGCAGTGCTAGTGTTCTGCTGTACAAAGGGTTTTGCACATATCTTAAAAATAAATATGCTGATGTGATCAGAACACCTTCTTCCACATATCTGCAGTACCCCTAGACTGTTATTTCTCCTGCATGCTTTTCCATAAAGGCCTGAATTTTTGAGTGTGTGAGTCCTGTTATATACTGTATATCCCCACCTAAGCTGATCATCACTGTGGCTCCTCCCCTTGCCCTGCCTGTAAATTTAGGTAGATGACCACAGTACAGCCTGTGTCCAATTGTGTCGTTTTAATATGCTCAGTACATGTTTAAATGTGGGATGCTGTTAAATGACTTGACTCTGTAAATACCTGACATCTGAAGGCAGCCATCTTATTTCTTTAGAATTTAAACCTTGCGTCATTTAGATGCTACTTTAAAATTATGCATTTATGTATTTTCCATTACATATATTACCAGCAAAATTTCAAAATCTGTGGCTTAAGTAGAAAAATATATATACAAACTTAGGGGCTATATTATATTTTATTGCCAAGCCTTTGTAAATACATGGAGAAGGAAATAAAATGATGTTGCAGTTACCCTAACCTTCTCTGGGGGTAATTTAATTGTTAGCTAAGCTAAATTTTAATCACCTCTTGAACTATTTTTTTCTCCTCATTAAGTTCCCCCTATTAGTCATCTAAGGCAGCATGAATAGCCCACAGTTAAGTGTTTAATTGTGTTTTAGTTATGAATAGGCAAAGCAGCAGGGTTATGATAAAAATAGAATTTGGCTAAGGTTCTGAGGGACCAGGGAGTGGATAGAGGACAAGCAGGCGATACCGTCAGCTAAGGTAATAGCTTGGACATGTAGCTTCTGAGGGCTATGGGAGATAGATATGCTGGCAAGAGTATGTTCACCTAATGTTTGTGTGCCTATGTATTTCCATGTGTGTGTTGGGGACAGCTGCAATGTGGTGGCAGTTCCACTCCTGTGGCCAGTCACTAGGAGCAGTACATACACACACTGGCAACAGGAGATATGGTCCCCTTGAGAAAAGGGAAATAAATGAGCCTGTCAACACAACAGGATGTGAACTGTCTACAATACACAGGGGTCTGAATATGTTGGGGCAAGATATGCTTCACCTCCAGAGTAAAGTGTCTGTATTTGTCTTTTTGTGTTGGGGAGAGGACATATTATAAGCCTTTACCATAAAACCTACCTTAAGTCATTAAACCCAAAGGCTGGTTTGGTACTGATGTGTGTGTTTTAGTTTTTTCTTTTTTTTTTAAGCCAAAGGTCAAAATAGTAAATTTGGCCAACATAAAACCCTCTGTGTGTCCTTGTGAGTGATTTTGTACCACACTGCGATGTGGCCTTGTCAGAGTCTCTATAAATCAAGCTTTGGATGACAGATCAGCTTTGTCTAGAGGCTTGTGTGAAGTTTCCAATCACAGTTTAAGTCTAAGGATGCTGAGTGATGTATTAGAGGAAGGTTAGTAGCATCACTGTCAATTCTAAGTCAACAATATAAAGGAAAGAAACAAGATAAAGCAAAAGAAAGGCATAAAATGCAAGTGCAAGGTTTACTTACTTTTGCTGTAAACACACCTGTTTCCATGCATTAAAAATGTTGAGGGTTCAAATCAAGGCCTGGGGTCTTCCTGCATGGAGTGTACATGATCTCCCTAAGTATATTTTCTTTCTGCAGGTACACCTGATTCCTCCACCAGTCGTGGTTTTTTCTGACCTGTCCTGTATGTACCCCACCTCTTGCTTAATGCACCGATGAGCAGGTAAAGAAATGGTATCTATTTGTGAATATCTATACCAGCTTTTTGCATCTAAAATCTGTAATTTTTACTAATTTTTAATTGGTAAAGTTCAAGCTCATTTGGACTGGACTGAACCGGACCTTCCAACAGATTTATAAGTGTGTTAAGGGCTTGACTTTGACCAGACTCTCCGAGCAGAATATGCTTTGATGTAAAGTTGGTTTAGGGTCTAGCTTGTTGTCTTTGGAGGTGGTGCAACTCTGATTAAATTTTAAGCATGTAAATCATTTTCAGCCTAGTACTGCTTTGCATGTAGGCAAACAGGTTAAATAATGATTTAATAATGAGCACATTTTTTCCACATGAATGTCTCTGACCGTACATGGCTTCAGGGAATTTAATGGTGTTACTGTTTTCACTCTTTTATGAAAATTAGATTTGTTGGGCTCACAACTCATACTTCTTTCATAAACACACTAATATTTCTTTAATTGTTCAATTGGACACCACATTGGGTTTTTCTAGGACTTAAAATCTCAACACTATAAGGTTTGTGGTTTTAACATATCAAAACATAAAGTTTAAAGGATATGAAATCATTTTCAAGGCACAATTGATTTCCATAAGTGCTTTGTCATTGAAATGGTGATAAAAACCCAGATGCACAGATAAAAACAGGCGAAGTGCAGCTCATTACTTAAAGTCTCACCTTCCTCAGTGGTCCGTGCCGTCTTGGATTCGCTGTCCATGCCTTGAAACTCGTTAAAATAAGGCCGAACCTTGATCTCGTAAACAATGCCCTTTTTGAGGGACGACAGGAGAACACTGCGTTCAGAGGGCACCTTCACATCCTGGTTCTGCCATGGTCCCGGCGAAGGAAGCCCTGATGTCTGCCTGTACAGAACCCTGTAACCCTGGATGAACTGGGACTGACGGTCCACCTGCAGAAGCAATGAAAGCAGGGTTATTACTGAAAAGAAAGCATTAAGCAGCTTAAAGGATAACACACACACATTGATGCTTTCCTGCTTTACAAGACTGCTTGCCTGACACTTTAGAGGCTGTTACTTGTTTAATGGGGCTTTTATCACAAGTCATGCCACACTTTGCTCAAATATAACACCCGGAAATTACCTCATGCCATCAGCTACATCTTAACAGACAAATGCAAGTCCCACATGTGCAATAAATACCACACAGTGATACCTTATAGCACATCTCCTTACATTTAGGATGGGCTGCAACTATAAGAATGTGATGCAGCCACAAATATATATACCCATGGGAATACACAGCAGAGGTGTTAACAGCAGAAATCTTCCTTTGAAAAACACTTAGGCATTGTGTGTGATGAGCAAAAGCCCAAAAAGGGACTTCCCTGTAAACTTTGTCTAGTTAGTTAAACAGAAAAAGTTGAATTTATGCAGAGGAGGAGTAGGAGCATAACTCACTATAATGGCTTGTTAACAGTGGAGGAAGTGAGCGCAGCTTTCAAGTGGGATATTAAGCAGCTGTTTTTCACCAGCATAGACTGAGTAAATCAGCAGAATGAATCCCCCAATGGTGGTGTGGGACTTTTATTAATGGGATGATTGAGAAATACAAAAGCAGCCCCTCCGTTTACAGAAAGGACTTCTGGTTGATTTAGGCTGCAGTTTTTTATGTTGACTTCACAGTGTAATCATATAGCAATGGTTTTAGCATTAAATTAAAAGCCAGGTCTTGGGGGGATATGGCGTGAGACTTACTGCAAGGGTCAATAAACATGTCAGTTGAAAAACCGCTAATGTTGTTTGTTTCAAAATGCAAACAGCCTCCCCTCTGCTAAGTGATGTGAAGTAAATATCTGCAACAGAGTGATTTATAGCCCTGTACTTAGAATAAACTAGCACATTTAATGAATGAACACCTCAGCCTTTGAAGAATCTCAGCAGCATTTTTGTCCTCATTAACATGCAATCAAAACATAAAACACTCGCATCCAGGAAGGAACTCCTTTTTTAATCTTCTCAAACCCCCATAACACAAGCCCACTAAACGCTTGCATAGAGGGAGATAAATGCATTAGTTCTGCAGCAAAAAAAGAAAACTGGATTCTGCAACCATTAGCAATATTTTAATCTAGTTCTAGCTGTGGATTCTTTGTTTTAGGAAGGAAGCAGCTGAAGGGAAGATGGATGATTGATGAATCTCCAGGTGTCTCCGACATTTCCCTTTATGCTCACGGTGGTTAAAGAAACCATTTTACAGATGTTTGATGTTTGGTTACCTTAAAGTCACTTTAATATTTCAAATGGTGTAGTTGGAGGGAACAGACTGATAACCTCCCTCCCCTCCACCAACATAAAACAAATGATCACCCTCCAGGGGAAGCTTTAAAAATTGATGTTTAATGTTAACTATTGTCAGTTTCTGACAAGAATTGAAGATTTAAAGATGGAAAAAACAAGAAAGAGAGATAAGAAAGCCATTGGTATACTTAAAGAGTTGGGTGAATAGCTTCAGAATAAAGTCATTTTTACTTTTGAAGTAAAGTCTTAGAAGTTGTTCCAAATTCCACATTTTAATCTTTAATATAAAGCGTGACAGAAAATGGATGGTAGATCTTAGCGCCAACAGAATTTTATCTGAAAGGTAACAGTCAGAAACCTGAGGCAAATACACTTATTTACGCTCCCTAAAGTTTCAGGCAAAAGTGTGCAGATGATTCACACATTTTGTCCATAAACAAAGACGTTATCCATGTCAGTATCTCTAATCTAATAAGCATCTTGAATCGTCTCACCTTTGCACAACATTCTTGGTTAACAATTTGAGCAATTTACACCACTGACAGGAAAATCATTTAAATTTGTTTCATTTTAGATCATAAAAAGTAACTGCGAATTTACTTTACTTTGTATCTAGTTACCCCCCTCGTGATCCCAGCTGGGATAAAGTGGGACAGAAAATGGATGGATGGATGGATGGATGGATGGATGGATGGATGGATGGATGGATGGATGGATGGATGGATGGATGGATGGATGGATGGATGGATCG